GTCGAAAAAGGAAAGTGTGTGTGTGTCTCTGTGTGTAGGCATGCGTATCTGTGGGGGTGTGGACTGCATGTTTATTTTCAGTGTTGGGAATCCTAATGGAAAGTTCCTACATCCTTTTATTTCCTCAGAAAAATAGTCACTTTCCAGACATTAATTAGCCTCAGGAAAAATCGCCACCCAAACGGCACCCCCAGCCCACCCCAGCCCCGCCCCATCATTGCTGGACAGAGCCGGGGGATGGAAATGGCACCGGCCCTCCAGCACTTGCTGACCACGGCGTCCAGGACCTGGGCCAAGAAGCTGACCTCTCTTCATCATGTTCACTCACCCCTGTGTTTCAGAAATGTTCTATTCCTGGGCCAATCACAGAGCACTGCATTTCACTCAAACTTCATTAATGTTGTCAAAAAGAGAGAGAGAAATACTGAAAACATCATACCAGTGAAGGATAATACTGAATTATCTGTGAACCAACTCAACCCTATGTATAAGTTACTCAGTGATTGCTGCTTCTTGTCCAGTAAAGGAGTTTAAATACGAAAATGGAATGATCCTTAAGGGGACATAGGGCTCAGCTGCTGACCTCTGAGGTGAGGGGTTGGGCTGTGGCAGTCCTGGAGGGAGGAGTGAAGGAAGTTCTTGGGCAGAAGTTAGGAGGGGGAAATGCAAGGGCCACCAGGCCTGCCGCTCCCTTTGTCTCTGCCACAAACACCTTGGGTCGCGTGGGGACTGGCTCCCCGGTCTACGGTCTACACACTGGTTATTTTTCATAGAATCAGAGGAAGTATTTGGCCCAGTGCTCTTGTTTTACGGATATAAAAGTAGGCAGCAGATTCAAAACTGCACTACTAATCACAGCAGGGAAGACAGGGACTCGTCACATAGCAATTTGAGGCCATTTGTAAATTTATTTTTGATAGTAATTAGCAGTGGCCCTAATGCTTTAGGTTTCAAGTTACTTTGTCATCGGTTAACCACTTACAGACACGTTGGTCAATCCAGTGGTCACTAGCCACATGGGCAACTGGGCCCTTGAAGCATGGCTGGCCAAATCAACATGTCCTCTAAGACTTGGCATGCAAAACAAGGAGTGAAATACGTTATTCATACTTTGTACTGATTACATCTTTAAACGACCCCTGACCTGGAGACTTGAAAAACACGCTGGGTACATGTGCATGTGTACCCAAAATCCTGAGAGGAGAGGGGGTGTGATCCACCAGAAGGGAGTGATTTCTCACTTTCTCCCTCTCTCTCTGTCTCTCTCCAGTGAGCACATGTGCCCTATAGCAAACATATTTTTAAAATTTAATTTCATCAGGCCAGCAAGTGGCATAAATGTTTAGGTGCTGGATCCCACATGGCCAGCTGGGTGGTTTGATTCCTAGACTCAGTGGCTTGAGAGTCACACTGAGTGTGTGTGTGTGTGTGTGTGTGTGTGTGCCCCAAATCTCAAGAGAATTGAGTAGAAGCAACTGCAGCCTGGCCATCCCCAGACGCCGCGCGGCCAGCCCCTAAGGGCGGGGGGGGGGGGCGGTGATGATTTCTCATTATCCTTTTCTTTCTCTGTCTCTCTATCTCTTTTGGAAGAGCACACAGACTCTATAGCAAAAGCTAAGAAAATTAAAAATTTATCTCCATTTCACTTTTCTAATGTGACCACCAGGTCATTTTAAATTATGCATGTGGCTCACACGTCTCATCTCTACTGGACATACTGAGGGGGAAGATGCTTCTCTGCACCGAGGAGAGAGCAGCACGAATCTCGCCCCTGAATCAGCCAGGGGAGAGTGTGAGTGGGCATCTGCTCCCAGCACGTCAGAATCCTCACCTGGTCGGTGAGGACAGACTTGCCAGTTGCACAAACTATCACTGGAAGCATTATTTGCATTCGATGAAATAATTTGAAGTTCGTGCTTAAATAAATATATGAGTGAGTAAATTTAACTTTTGAAAGAATATCAGCAATTCTGACAAGACAGCCATCACCCGTTTTGATGAATAACAGCTGTTTTCCTGGAAAAATCATAACCAAAACCAATTAATGTCCTGGAAATCAATTCTGGACTTCAAGAGACATCTGTCCACTGTCAATACTTAAACAAGATAGATAGGTGATAGATATCAATAATCCATTCTACCCTATGAGTGACAATGGGGGGGCAGGGATGATAAGAATTGAAAATGATAAGGCGGAACTGAGCCCAGGCAACCTCCTCATCCCAAACGACCAAATGCTCCTTTCGGTAACAAAGAAATTCTCTGATGCAAAAATTTACTGTGGTCACACTGAGGAAATGAAGATTGCATTGAAATCCGCATGTTAATTTCCAATAAACAGATCAACTATGGCACCGAATTAGAACGAACCGTGCATTTCTATTATCTCAGGCACACTTTCTTTTTTTTTTAACAAAAAGAAGTTGTTTATCAAAGGTTTCAGATTTGCAGAAAAGTATCCAGTATTTATGCTGAGATCACACACCCAGACTAGAATACCAACCGAGTGTGGTGTGTAGGATGGAAACAACAGGAAATTAACAAAGACGGCTGCTCTGCTCTGTCCCTGGTGAAATGGCCTTCCTGAGAGTGGCTTCTGCAACCAGGCCTTTGGTCTGCATGTTTTCTGAGTCTCCCTAGGAACAACTCTATTAGAGCTACAAGAAAAGATTCTGGCGTTTTCTACAATAAGCATGCACATAAGATTCCCAGCTGTGGGCTCACTGAGGTGCGAGCCGCAATCCTGCACCCTGGCACCCACAGCAGTCTGCCCACTGCCCGCCTCCTCCACCCTGTGTGCAGCCAGAATTAACGCTGCTATTAAACTGTCACCTGTAAAATGGGCAGGGAACCTTTTCTTGCTGCTCTATCTCCTATTTCTATAGGAAGAGCCACGGGTCTTCCCTTGTCCCAGCCCATGGCGCCCCCTGTGTTTCCACTGATAAGACAAAATTCGGGGCAATTTGCAATTTCAGGCAATAACTAAAAAAATAAAATAAGAAAGAAAAAATAGTATGACTCCTCTACAAATTCGTTAAATTTATTCTAATTTTATCCTCCCCTTTTCTCTCCCTCCCACTCCACCTCTTCAAATCCAAATGCCACTGGAAAAGAAGCACATTTGGACTGACTCGGGATGCAAAATGTCTAGGCTCTTATTGTTACCTAGAAAAATGTTACTTAGAAACGATATTTTTAAAAGTTTTTGAGTTCAAAGCAGGGAAGCTCTGATATGCTGGACAGGTTTCCAGCATGCAACGAGGTCAGTTTCAAATACAGCAAAGGCAAATCCATGTCCTGAAGCCTTCGCGAGGGAGCTGTGTCCGTGCACAGTGGGCGACGCTGAATCCCACAGCCGCTGTGCTCTGTCCACGGACCGACACCGGGGCTGCTAGTTTCAAAGGCTTCTGAACCCCACAGGATGTGCACTGAGTGTTAAGGGGACAATCGGTATTTGTTTTTCCGGAGCGGGCCACGCGGGCGGCTTGCTACGCCGCGCGGAGCCAGAGGTCCTTCGCAGGCGAGCCTGGGCTCTCAGCTGTCATTGTCATCCGAAGGGAAACCACGTCTTGCAAACCGGGCGCGGGATGCGGCGCCCTGACGGCCTGCCGCTCCGCCAGCAGACGAGCAGGAACACACGCCGGCGTCACGAAACGCCTTCCCGACAAGACACAGGGACATCGGACACCCGGGCAGTCGGAGCCACGCACACGGAGGCGGCGGCGGGAGTGGGACCGGGCTGAACCCCGCAAGCCCGCACGCCCCGCATTGTTCCTCACTTCAGACCACGTCTCCACTCCTAAACCCATCCCAGCCATTTCCGCACGAAGGCCAACGCCGGCCTCAGAGCAAGCCCAACAGTAAGTCGCTCTGGGAGGAATCCCCAGGCTGTGTAGACAGACCTCCCGGGGAGGCGCTCCAGGCGAGGCGGGGCGCGGGCGCTCAGCTCCGCGCCGGGGACCCGCAGCCTCTCCCCACCCTCCCAACCCCGGCCCAGGCGCCATGCGCCCCCCCGGGAGCCCGGCCCCTCCCAGGGG